CAATAAAAAGTAATAAAAAAGTACAAAAAGATGCTTTTCTTTCTTTTATTTTTTATAATTGGTCAAAACATAAAAAAAAAAAGCCAATAAAAATTACATTGCAGCTCATAATTTGGAAAAGGTAAAGTAAAGACACATGAAAAAAAAAGGAATCCAATGTTGACTAATTGGTTCCACCGCTGAAACAGTAGAGCATATGTTGGATGTCCTCGAGAATAACACTCCCTTTTTAGTGAAACTGGTAGTAAGAAAATTCCATTATTCATGAAAATCTTCCATCCTAGCTCCCAACCTCAAACCTTCTATGACAAATTGGTTGCCAGTGCCTATCACAAATTGCAAGATGCCGTAAAGATATGCTGGCAGAAATTGGCTCTTCTATGACAAATTGGTTGCCGGTTCCTATTGCATGATTTTGTAGTATGAAATAATTTTAGCTCTTCTTTCCCAAGATAGAGCATTTCTGCACAGAAAACCAAGGTTACTTCTCTTGAATTTTGTAATGTTGATAGTCTAGTTAGATGAATCATGTGCCGAATCTGTGCAAATTGATGAATAGCAAATAGTGATGTCTTTTTTTTCCCGAAGTGGAACTATCCAAACTAGTATTGTTTATGTGCTTAGATAAATTTATGGAAGAATTATAGTTACAAGCAAATCTGGGAAATTTGATCTGTTCCTGAAAAATCCCTAATGACTTGATTCGGGATTAAAATTTTCCCGTTTCCTTGTGCATCCAAATAAAGTGTAGAAGAAAGAAAATTTTCTGAATCATAGATAGATCATTGGATCTATATAATTCATCCAAAACTCTTAGAAGCCAATAGATCAAACCTTGATTATAAATTTCTCTTAAACAAATCCTCGGAGAGCAAAACCAAACAGCTTTAACAAAAGGTTCATAGAATATATGAAGCATGGAATCATGGGAGTCATAATCAAAAGGACACATGATTAAGGCAAGAACATTATGATGGGTTAAAAGAATACCACTTGCAGGGATTTCTTTATGTAAGAATTTCTAGATGAAAAGTAGAGTTTTATAAGAAAGATATAATTTACAAAGAAACCCTTTAATGCTTTCATCACACTACTAGAAAAAACACTTTTAACTATGCCTTTTAACATCGGTTATATAAAAATCCGTTGTTAAAAAAGATGCGGTGGCACTACTGTAAATAATTGAAACATAATTAACATCGATTTGATAAGAACTGATATCAAAAAGAGTGTCAACGTTCGTTTCTTAGAAACCGATGTTGAAAGAGTGTTTTCCAAGAAACCAACGTTGCAAGAGTGTTTTCCACGTCGGTCATTATTAAACCAACGTGGAAAGATGGATAGCATTTAAAAAAAAAAATTCATAGATTTAACATTAGTTATTTTATAACCGATGTTAAATCCTAGAAATGATGTTAAATTTTCAGATTTGTGAACTTTTGATGTAGATTTCGAACAGCCAAAGTGTCGGTTTCCTTCTTCTCTTCTCTCCCTGTTTCAAGCTCCAATCTTGTCATACTCTACTGCCGTGCGTCGCCACCGTGAAGTTCCCACCATCAAAGGTGAGGTCCACTGCCATCAAAGCATATTTCATTGAGTCAGCCACCATTTTCTATTCCATCACTGTTCATATCTACATTTTTAGATTTTAAAGCTTTTAAGGTGTGTTTTCTTCTTTTTCTTTGTGGGTCAAGTTTATTTTTTGATTTGGGATCTCCATTTCCTTTATTTTTCTTCTCTTTTCTTCCATTATGAGTGAATCTTCCTTTTCAGTGGGTGCTTGCTTCTTCCTCTTCCTCCATTTGTTGGGTGTTGCTTCAAGGTGGATTTTTTGGTTACATTTGGTGTTCATAGATTTCAAGCAAGTATCATTAGTTTTTTTTCTATTTTTTCTTTGATTTATGAAAAATTTCCTTTTTTTTGGGTTGCTTCTTCCTATTTTCTGGTTTTCTGTGCGTGATTTTTTGCTATTTTTATTTTTTATAATTAATATAATTGTTTTCTTTCTTTAAAATGTTTCTAGACAGATGAATTAAATTTATTGTGATGAATGTTATTAGATAAAGGAATGAAATTTGTACTTGTTTAGAGGAATTAAATTTGTTATAATAATTTTTAGGGGAAATGGCATTAAGGGCCCTAAAAAGTAAGAATTTTGCAGATAAGGCCTAATAGATTCTGAAATTATTCTGAGGACCTAAAAGCCTCATTTGCAATTATGTTTTTTTGGTGAAATGTCTAATTTGTCCCTCCCATAACTAGCTTCTTCTTCCTCCATTCTTCCTCCCTCGTCCTTCTCTCTCTTCCTCTTTCAACACTAATACAATAACAAAATTTATTTTCCTCCAACATCATGCTTCTCTATTCCCTCTCTTCTTCTTCCTCCTTCTTCCTTCTTTCTCTCATTTGAAGCTTTTTCCTTCAACAGGTATGAGTGAGTGATTCATTTTTATCCAGATGGGTATGGAGAAGACGATCAGGCGTTCATCCTATTACATTCTTCTAATGCCAACCAACTTCTTGAAACGATTCGCCATAGTATGGAAAGAATGGATCAAGTGCTGCATCTGCCATTATCAATTTTATTTTGTCAAAAAAGGATATAGAGAGTTTGAGCCATATCAGTTTTATTTAATCATAATGTACGCGTTCATGTTCATTTAATGAAAATAAGTTGTTATTTGTGGACTTTTTGTTGTTTTTGATACATATTTTTTTACAATTGATATAAATATTCTGGTATAGATGTTGTTTGTGAAATTTATGTGGTTATTTATGGAGTTTACATTGTGCAAACTTTGCAATTAACTTGTGTGGATATTTATGTATATCATATAAACAAACCTTGTATTATAAATATATAGACATTGTGTTGTTAGCAAATGGATACTTTCATATTATATACGGGCCTTTTGTTCTTCATTAACTTGAGAAACTTTTTTAAATATTTAGTTTAATCACACAAATCATGTGAAATAGATGGACATTATGTTGTTAATAAATAGACCTTGTCATGTTATATACAGACTTTTTATTGTTCATAAACTTGAGAAACTTTTTGTTAAGCTTATCTAACTGATAAACTGTATACACATAGACTTTCAGTTAAAATATATGAATCTTAAGTTGTGTATCAAGGATATTGTGTTGTGCATTGTTTGCTTACATATGCATTTTGTCAAGTCTAGCTTATTGATAAAGTAAAATCTTATGGACTTTTAGTTGAGAAAAAATAAACCTTATATTGTGCATAATGGATATAGTGTTATGCATTGTTTGCCTATTTGTGCATTTTGTTAAGCCTAACCTACTGATAAAGTAGAATCTTATGGACTTTTAATTGAGAATAAATGAACCTTATATTGTGTATAATGAATATTATGTTATGCATTGTTTGCCTATTTGTGCATTTTGTTAAACCTAGCCTATTGATAAAGTAGAATTGTATAGACTTTTAGTTGAGAATATATGAACCTTAAGTTGTGCATAGACGATATTGTGTTGTGTATTGTTTGCTTACTTTTACATTTTATCAATCCTAACCTATTGATAAAGTAGAATCTTATGAACTTTTACCTTATATTATGCATAGTGGATATTGTGTTACACATTGTTTGCCTATTTGTGCATTTTGTTAAGCCTAGCCTACTGATAAAGTAGAATCGTATGGACTTTTAGTTGAGAATATATGAACCTTATGTTGTGCATAGTGGATATTGTGTTGTGCATTGTTTGCTTACTAGTGCATTTTGCCAAGCCTAGCTTACTGATAAAGTAGAATCTTATGGACTTTTAGTTGAGAATAAATGAACATTATATTATGCATAGTGAATATTGTATCATGCATTATTTACCTTACTTCAGTATTTTGTTAAGGCTAGTGAAATACTTGAAATGCATGGACTTTCTGTTGAAATGTGTGGACATTGTCTTGTGCATAGTGAATGTTATATCGTGCATGGTCTATTTCGTTGTTTTGAGAGTTCATGCAGGTTTTGAGTTCAAATCAAACAAAGGGCAAAATCATACTTTTGGTCTCAAAAAAATTGACAATAAGGGCCTTAAGGCCTACAGAGAAATATCAGATTCATTTAGGCTCAAATTGCAATAAAGTCTGTTTTTAAGGCCCTTAATGCCATTCTTCCTAATTTTTATGCTATGAATATTGGTGGGTAGTATAATGGAATCTACACTTGATTAGAGAAATTGTTATGTGTTTAATTTTTTTTAAATTTACTTAAATTTTGAAATTGCTTGATATTTGAGTTAAATTTGATTGTAGTATATTGGTTTTGTTCTTTTAAAAACAAAATTGTTTAAATGATTGTTGAAAAAATAAACAAATCTTTTTTTTAAAAAATAAACTTTTAACAATGGTTGTTGGAAAACGTTGCTAAAAATCTTTTAACGATGCACTACAACATTTTTAGTTTATGGCAACAAGCAAAAAACTATTGCCATAGGGTGAAAAACTATTGCCTATTGCCTATATGTGTGTAGGCAACAGTTTTTGGGTGTGGTTCAAGTGGGCACTACCTAAAGTCTAAGATAACGGTTTTTTAGAACTTTAGGCCACGAATGAAAAAACTGTTGTTGCCTATCCTAACACAATAGGCAACGGTTCTTTATTGTTGCTAAGCTATGCTTACAATTTTTAACCATTGCCTATGCCAAGTCTTTTGCACAACAGTTTTAACTGTTGACAAACATCATGAATTGTTATAATATTTGACATAAGATAATTGATTTATTGAATGTTGTATTATTAGTTTCAAGGTCTACCTATTGCCTAACATATAAATAAATATGTTATACATATTCAATTATTTTTCTCAATTAGTAATCATCTTGCAAGATAATGCGCCACATAATTTTCTCAAGATTCAAACAACTATATTTCATACTTAACTATATCAAATTACAATATATATATATATATATATATTGTCAAAATTAAATACTAACAAGAATATGAAATTTTACTAATAGAATCAGGGGTACAAAAGGTGGGACCAAAAGGGAACGAGAGTACAACAAGAAGTATGATAATCATGAGAGATTAACATTGCCAACAACCAAATGAAGCATCATCATTTGAGGAGAGTATTGACTATTGATTTGATGACTGAGTTTCTTGAGATAATGCAGGACTATCTTCACCCAACAAGCATCACAGGAGCTCCTGATTTGAATGAGAAAAATGAGTTACATGTTTCTTAAAAATGAGAAAAAATGAACTTACGGATATCAGTTTTAATATTTTATAATGCACCTTTAAATTCCAATTTTTTAACACAAAAACAGCTGAATACAGTACCATTCCAAATTTCAATCCTCCCACTTACAACTAAAAGCAGAGCACCCCCCCCCCCAAAAAAAAATGTCATATAGTCATATATTACACAATTCAATTGACTTAAACTTCTGAGTCAATGGGAAGGGATCTCGGCTGTATCAAATAAATTGATTCGTTCAGTTACTTATAGAGTGATAACACCATTGGAACTTGTAAACACTAATAGAGGTGAGCATTAAAATTAGGAAATGCAGATCTAACGACCAAGTTTAGAATAAGGTACTATAAGATTTCCGGAAGCCTAAAGTATTTGTGCCTTGTTATTAATTATACAAACTAAAAAGTAAAGACAAGCTTTATAATATAGTTAGCAGAATAAATTAGCTTGCTAACATCCTAATATATAATGCCACGAAAAATATGAGCTCATAGTTCACAAAAGAAAGAAACCATAATAATCAACCATGAGCAAGTGCAAGGGAATTTAATAAAAATACCTGTTACAAACCTAGAAAAGAGAAAGTTCACCAAAGCAAAAGTAAGGGTCTGTAAAACAAAGAGAAAGTATATCATCAAAAAACAATTAACTCTACACCAAAGTAAGTTAAAGTTATAGATTTCAATACTTGAGCTATGATCATTGATAGATTTTTCTTCTATCATATTCAGAGCCATATTTGGATCAGAGAACATCTCTGTGCTTGTGGATTCTGGGCTTGACCCTTGGGAACAAACAAGAGACCATTTTCCTTTATGAAAGATAAGCACAATCTTAATTCACCTTTTAACTAGACTGTGTTATTTAAGACTTAAAGAAATCAATTTTTTCTTTGTATGAATGAACTCACAAACTAATCAAAGCACCTAACTAGTGCTCCCACACTCCTCATATCTTCTTTTAAAGAGTCTGAAGGGAGAATTCACAATGAATCTTTTTTTCCCCTATATGAAATAATATACAGGATCGACTAATGAACATTGTTGAGTTTGCAATTCTATTAATCAGTGGACGTCTAACATCAATCATGGGCCTCTTGGCTATATACAAAAAAGAAGTTGTGATTAAGAGATCAATGCACAAACCATCATGGTCAGTCGCATACGACTTGCAAAATAATAGTTCACTTAGGTTATCAATTACCAGAGAAATTTTAGAGAATTCTTACCCTGGTTTCTTAATTTTAGAAATTTCGATATTCATGTGCAGCACATATATTTATTTTTCTTAATTTTCATTATTGTAGTGGTTAATTTCAGCCATCCATAATTAATCAGTTAAGTTTGTGCCTATGAGTTCTTTCACTATGACAATATTTATTACAAAATCTGACCGTATAGCATTAATCTAAATTATTATTAATTACAAACATCCACCACAGCAAATAAAAAAAAAATGATCTCAGCTGTTCACATATCCACCACTGCAACCAGAAAATGAGAGATTGAAACTTACACACACATGGGCGAGGTGTCGACAAAGCAGAGGAAGGAGGATAGGAACGCAAACTGACACAACAACCATAACATCACAAACAAAAACCATATACGCGCGATTAAGACAAACCTTCTTCAATTGCAAAGGCCGATAATGGACACAAAGGACCACAGATCGTGAGAAGGCGGAGAAGATATTGGTGTTGCAGGAGAACGCAGAATAAAGGCCACTAGCACTAACCCGTGGCAATGGAAGATGAAAGGGGAAGAAGATATTCGGCAAGATTGAGAGACGCAGACAAGAGAGGCGATACAGCTAGGGTTAAGACTTGGAAGGGAAAGGGAAATGAATTGGTAATTAGAAGGGAAATGCACGAACAAAACACATATTCTAAGTTAACTTCATAAATAATAAAAAATTTATATTTGTATTATAAACAATAAAAATTTTATACTTTTTGTTAAAAAAATAGTTATATAAATAAAAAAAATTTATATTATAAAATATATTAGGCAACAGTTTTTATTTGTTAGATAACACTAAATTTTATAGGAAACAATTATTTTATGTTGTCTATTTAAAAAATAGTTTGCAAGAGGTATAAAAATGTTGCCTATTTAAAAAATAACTTGCAATAGGTATAAAAGTGTTGCCTATTTCATAATAGGCAACACTTTCATCATGTTGTTTTATACATGTTGCTTAAAGTCCTACCTAGATGCAACACTTACAAAAGTGTTGCCTCCTGTAAGAATAGGCAATAGTTTTCCACCTGCTGAAAGAATAACTATAGCCATAGCTCTAAAATGTTGTAGTGAACGGTTATTATAAAAAACTGTTGTTGATAATAGTGGTTAAAAATACTTTTAACAATGATTTTTAAATAATCATTGTTAAAAGTTAATTTTTTTAAAATTTTTAACTTTTTTTTTGTGGACTTTCCATGTGAGTTAATAACTAACATGGAAAGTGATTTTTGACACCGGATAAATAACTGATATTGAATTTCTACTTTGCTCTTCCCCTTTTTTTTAACTTTCCATTAACAACCGATGTTAAAAGTCTAAAATAATTGTTGTTAAAAGTCTTTCTTGCAGTAGTGTCACTTGCAAGATGAGAAATCTAAAACCTTGTTGAACAGTATAAGTGCTAGAATTCCAAATTAATCTATTTGGTGAACCATAGAAACATAATAGAATTTTAATGATTTGTTGAACTGCAATCGAGTTATACAAGTTCCTTAATAAAGGAATATTTCAACTAGGTTGAGACCATGAGTTAGGCCTCTGAATTAGAAGATTAGCTATTGTGGAGATAACAAGGGCTCTGGCAACAAAAGGGTTAAAAGGAGACTACCAAAACTCATGAGTGATCAAAACAGAGGCTCCATTCCAACTTGCCATTTAAGTTGATCAATGATAAGATTAGACGAATCAAAGATACCCTTCCAAAACCATGAAGCATAATAAGGCTTCTTCAATGAGAGACCATTATGAGTATCTACATACTTCAACTCAAAGGTGTTACCCAGCAACAAATGAGGTTCTGCTTGCAAAATTCTCCAAAATTGCTTAGCAGTTAGAGCCACATTCATATGCTTAGTATTCCTTAAGCCAAGACCTCCAGACTTGATTGGTCCAAATAACACTTCTTTTCTAGCCAAGTGAATCTTCCTTTTGCCATCATCAATAGCCCAAAAAGAATTGACCAACTTATCATCTATAAGATCACAAATTTTATTTGGAAGATTAAGATAAGCTTGATATAACAACTTGGTTTTCCATGAAGACACCCTTTTGTCAATGGAATAATCCAATACCTTATTGTAAATAAGCGATTTATCTCTACCATCATCGATCCAAGTACCTAGATATTTGCTAAAAGTTGTGCTCAATTGGATGCCCATAAATTTTGAAATTTCCTGTTGCAAATTTGTAGGAATATTTGGACTAAGAATCAAGGTTGATTTATGTAAGATTACTTTTTGCCCTCATTGACGAAATTTATTAATGGTATCTTTAACAGTTGCTAGACCACTCCTAGTGCATTGAAAGAAAATACGTAAATCATCAGCATATAAAAGATGAGAAAATGGAAAGGAGGATTGATAGAGTTTTATTCCTTGAAAGGATCCCTGTTGCTCATGATGCACCAATAAACAAGAAAGAATATTTGATTCTTTCAGCCATAATTAAAAGGTAAGGAGATAAATGATATCCTTGTCAAATGCCATTCTTTGGAAAGTATAAATACAATCTTATTTAAGTTGGTTGCTAACAGATTCATTGCATTAACATTGTTTTATCAACTACTGCATTGATTTTCATATCAAAGGCTCTCTTAAATACTCTGTTTTAGGCTTTCACTGCATGTATTCATCTACTCTCTTAAATCCCTTTGAGAGAAACTTAAGATGTGATATACTTGAGTGGGTTTATACAAAGTTTTGTAAGGGATTGTGAGATATATTTAAGACTTGTAGTCTTGATCTATACAATGATTGCAAGTACCCTGTTGAAACTTGCATATTTAGTTGGGAAGCAAAAAATAGTTGGCCCAAACTAGGATGAATTCACTTTGTCATTTTTCTTTATGTCTACTTCTATTAAATTGCTTATTCAAAATCTTCATCTTGTACTCTATTTCTTGAGCTTTCACTGTTCTATTGGTTTGACATTTTTTTTAAAAGAAATTAAGATTGTCACTCCTCGAATTAAGGGTGTGACTGGCGTGGATATGAGATAGGCTCACATTCCTTAAACCTTAATTTTAAAAAAATAAATTTGAGATAATGACAAATAATTTATTTCTAAATTAAAATTCATAAATTCATAACCATTTTATAGAAATTTTGGTAAAGTTTTCCTTGTAATTAGAACCTCTCAAAATTTCTGCAATAACAAAACCTATCAATTAGACGAGAAAGGAGCTTAGCTCCACAACAGCAGATTTCACAATAACAAAATAAGGCTAGGACCGAACTATGGTATACATAGAGCACTAACTACAATTGTATAATATAATGAATATTTACATTAAAATAAATGATTGAAGCACGCTTCTGTTGTTTGAAAAGCAATAGAGCCCCTCAATGATTAGCAAGAGGTGTAGGGTCAACTATATTATTTGAGATCAAAGAAATTTTCTGATGAATAGCATTCCAATAAAAATTATAGATAAAACATGTAAAAGTATTAATAATTAATAGAGTTTAGTTTACAACAATTCAAGGGAATATTAAAACCCATATTTTTACCAACTATAAATAAAAAAGTTGCTCAACAATATGACCATGAAATAAAACAATAATTTAAAATTTTATAGGTTATCAAGAGTTGTAACAACTCATAAAAATATGAAAAAGGAAGTCAAATAATGATATAATAGAAAAAAATCACTTTTAATGGGACTTTATCAAAACGATTAACAAGCGTGGATATACAATCCACGAGGGTAAGTAACCAATAAGTGTAGACACACAGTCTATGAAATAATCAAGTGCGACTAGAAGCTACAAAACAAGCATGAGTACAATGCTCAAGAATATCCATCCCTCTATTCCACATGCATTGGCTTACGTATGAGGCTAGCATTTCCTACAAGCACTCTGCTAACTAGATGTACTATAGCTCACCAAGGGCTAATGGAACTACCATTAGCATCCAACGTTCTGAACTCAGTTCCCCTAATTAAAATCAAAATTGAGCGTGCATAGAGTTGAAACATTCATTGGAAAACCATTCTTTTCAAAATATAATATTCAACTATCAATTTTTTTTTCATGCACGAATCACCATGTTAACCACTTGAATATAAATTATAAAATTTGAACAATAGAAATGCTTAGAATATATAATTGATTAATAATGTATCAAATCCAAGTATTCATTAATAATAGCATAATTTTTAATGAAAATAAAATAGATTCTGTAATGAACCAATTAATATAAAAGTAAGGTAAGAAAGAAGAATTATACAAATCATAAAAATAGAATTAACCAGAATATTTATACAATTTATAAAGGAATAATATAAAAATTTAAATAAAAAAATTTGATAAACACTATGCAAGAAATTATTTGGGACACTACCCACTCACCTGAGAGTTTTTAATAATTCTAAAGCTCATTTCGCTTCAACTTCTCACTTAATTCCAAAAGTGCCATTAATTTTTCGAATAAATCAACCACAATTCTAAATCATTCCTTTATTCTTTCCTTCATGTAAGTAAGTTAATATTTAATATTGAGTTCTCCTTTCAAATCCCATCAAGAACCAATTAAACTCAATAACAATATTCAAGTCCATCCTATCATCATCATGCTTTCGATACAAAAATTTTATGTTGAATTTATCTTCATATCTCATTGTAACCCATCCTTAATCATAAATCATAATAAACCATATCAACCATTCTTATATTTTCTTTGAACTTAATAAAGTATTATACAAACATTTTATATAATTCTTGTTTCTAATTTGATAGTTTCAAATTCCAATCAATAGCTCAAGCCACTACTTGCATATATTCTTTCAAGTTATATTATGCCAATTTAATAACATTCTTTCAAGTATTTTCACAAACACCTTGAGTGCATCAAAATTCAGCTCACAATAATCATCCAACAATTTAATCAACTTCCAACATTAATTCTTTCATTACCATTCAAGTCATCTCCAGATTACAATAGTGCACAGCATTAACCCAAAATACAAATCAATTTATGACAGCCACTATGAGAAACAAATGCATTCTTCAACCAGGGGAGGGAGAGAAAGGATGATTCACGTTGCTTATGAGTTCAAAGGAGAAGAAGAAAGGTTCACAATCAAGAAAGGTTCACAATCTTACCTTGAATAGAAGTACAGAAGTAACAGCCACGTAATCCTCAGCCCATGGACCACATTGAAGGATGGAAAAGGAGTTCAACCCAATGGAGAGAAGCAGCAGAATCAGCATATCAGAAAAAAAAAAAACAAAGACTTGAGCTCACTAAACACACACACCGGCGTCCAGCGGCTGCGGAGGAAGAAAAATTGAAGCTGAATGTACACACACACCCCTCACCGTCGATCTTGAACAGAGAAAGAACAGAGGACAGCGAAGAAAAAGAAATTCTAGCAACTTAATACTCCTAACAACATAAACGTACCGGTGAGGCGAGGACATACCAACGGCAAAGAGAAGAGTAAGTCCACGGTGAGGAAAAAGGATGCTCAACCGTAAGAGAAGGCCGAAGGATTTACGGAAATCCCTCTCTCCCACTCTGTTTCGCATGCTTAACCGACAAGGAAGAATTAATATTTGAATGAGAAACCC